AGGGGGGGGAGGGGAGTAGTGGCCCCGAGGTACCTTGGCTATGGCAGTGAGCCAGTAGGGGGTCCATCAAGTTGGGACGAGGCCCTAAGAACGCGGTGGGGTGGTAGAGGCCGCCTTGTGCATACCTATCATTCCCTTGCAGTTCGCAAAACCTCCCCACTCCGATTCTCTCCCCTCACCGGTTTTTCCGTCCTCTTCCCCCCATTCCACTCCGGCCATGCCCTCACCCTCTCCCCCCTACCTCTTGCACGTGACATCCAGTTTGAATACCAGTGTGTTTTTCTCGCTGGGAGCTTCCTCCGCCACCTTGGCCTCGAACAGTTGCGGGTCCGCCAGCAGGGGGACCATACCCAGCCGGTGAGCGAGAACTTCGTCCTGCACGGGTATGTGTGAGTGTGGGTGTGTATGCCAGGGACGGGTTGTGAGGAGGATGTAAATCAGGTGGAGGGGAGGTAGGGACGCCCGAGGCAGTTAAAGGTGTTTGTAAACAATACGGCAAGTAGCAGATTGCCGCCGCCGCGGGGGGGGAAGGGGGCAACCCCCACGGCGCGATGGTAAGGACCCAAACCCCCTTGTATGCATGTACCCGCGACACCAGTCAGTTCTACTGTTTGAGGCCCGACGCGTGTGTGTGTATGTATGTATGTCCTCTGTTGGCCGCTCCAAGTACCCACACGGACTTTTCCGCTGCGCCGGTTCTATGACACCTTCATTTCTCCACCTTTCTCCCCCCCCATTCCCCCACCCCCCACACACACGCGCGCGCGTACGTAGGACTCCACGCGGCGACACCCACCTGGATAATGGAGGTGTTGTTGATCATGAAGACATGTTCAATGGCCATCGTGGGCACCTCGGCAATCAGAATCCGCCGCAGCGCGTTGGCGATTGCGGGGTCCACTCCGATCATGTCAAACTCCAACACCTCCTTGTCCAACTTGTTGATGATGATTTTGAAGTCCTTCTTGAACTGCGCAAGGTCCCAGCTGTTGTCGACGCCCATGGCGCTAAACACATTTGCGGAGGTGAAGGTGTGCACCTGGGAGTGGGAAAAGGCAGAGGCAGGCGTCGAACAAGGATACCGGCGCCATCGTGTCGATGCTTAGGGTTTTTTTGACATTCAATACACCGGAAACACATCGCGCCATCGCAGCACTGAAAACAAGCGAAATCGGACAATTTGACTTCTCACAACATGCTTCAAATGATGTCAGCGTAGTCACGGTGCGTAAGCTAAACGAATGCTGGCGGCGCGTACATTGTAGTTAAGCTTGTCACCACAGGTAACGTAATCCCGTCGAAGTTCCAGGTGCTCGGGGAGCTTTGCCTTGGGCTCAGTGGACTTCTTCTTCTTATCTTTCCCCATACCGCCGAGTGGAAGGCCCCCGCCGGGGCCGCCGACAGGCGACGCTTATGGATTAAGAGGGGGCTAACGCAAGCAAATGCGGACAAATAGCTGCCTATCTAAAAAAGCAAGCGATAGTATTTCAGCTTTTCGGTACTACGGTAGGCCTGGCAATTAAAGCAATCAAACACAATTCGGCATTAATGTCCCTAGAACACGAATTCGTGTAATAATATAGCCTTCCGATAACGATGTCAAGATCGATATGTGTGTTAACGTCTTCGTGACAGGGTCAGCGACAAGGTTTTTGGGTTCCGCTCCAGAACCAGTGTCTGCTTCAGTCATGAACCTAACCTCCTTTCGTGTCGATCCAGAAATAAGGAACATTTTGCGATTGTTGAACACAATTATCATGATAACCTTGTTACGACAATAGGCGCGAAGGCCATATAACAGATGTGAAGGAACGATGGAGCTTACGCGAGCTGGATACTTCCTTTTAGTTGCTTCATGCTTGGTTGGATTTGCCGCTGTCCTATGGCCCACTGATCATGCATCTCGAACTGGTGCCGCTAGGAATAACGCGTCGGCGACCAGCTGTCCGTTAGGCTTTACAAGCAGTGATGGAGATAGGGCGCCATGGAGCACAGGAAACCACCCACCTCACGTGGTGAGGCTTTCCTTGAAAGATGACGGGGGAGATGCCTATCCCGGTTGCCTTGTGTGAGGTACTGCATCGTGAGTGCAAGAGCTGGTCCGGCTCCCGAACTTGACATTGGTTATGGTCAAAAACATTGAAGCCTATATCTTAGCTTTGGTGGACCCCTTGCGCAGGCACTTGGTGGCCCTGTCCCAGCTGCCAGAACAAGCATCGGCATGGCGGATAGGTCTACCCGGTCACTTGACACACGCTACCACCTTTTCTACAACGCCACCATTTGGACTGGAGACGAAAAACAGGTTTATTTTGAGCCTTGGCCATGCGGAGTGTCACAACCCGTTTACCCTCTTCCCTTTCCGATTACAAGGGTATTTGCTCTGCGGAACTGTCGTATCCTAGCTGTCACCCTTGCTGTACGGCAATGAGCCAGCCGTACCCGGATGCATGTATGCGGCTTGAGGCATCGGACGTCACATCTACATGGCAACCTTCCGTTACTGGTGATGATGACCTCCAGGCTGGCTTTGCGGAGGCGCTGCTGGTGCGGGAGGGTGGTATTGTGGCGGTGGGCTCCCTGGAGCACGCCAGACAAGCTCTCCGGACAACAACCGCAACCGCCACCCGTACAATCAGCCTTACACTTGCACGAGATCAGGGGCAACAGGTGCACCAAGCGGGGGAGCGAGGGGGCTCCGATTGGTACGGAGGTACGGGGAGCGTCAGTGGCTCCGTCGTACACACTCCACAACCGGGTGCAGGAGCTGACGTGGAGGTGGAGGTCGTGGAGTACGACATGGGTGGCAGCTTTCTGATGCCGGTAAGTGGGCCTCCCGCCTTCCCCCCTGTCCCCCGGCGCCGCAGTCATCGTGGCCATCCCCTCATGCAAGTATTATGTTCGTCCTCATGATCATCCGTTATCGGTGTACGGTGCCGTACCGGAATGTCGTACCGGTATGTCGTCACAGAGCATCCCAGTAAGCGCTGACTGGGCTTGTCCACCAACCGGGAACCGCCCATCTGTGGCACCGCTGTGGCTACTCCGCTGCAGTAGCAGTGCCAACCCCCCACCCCCCTTCGGACTGACCGACGGGTGACCTCTGGGCAACTTCCCAACTTTCCCAGCCTTTCTCCCCCCCCCGCCGCCAACTCCTCTACCCTCCAATAAGACCCTCTCGCCAGTACTCCCCGATGAAGCCCCTTGCACCCCCGCACATTCCGCGTCCATGTATGTGTTTCGTGTGTGTTTTGTGTGTGTCTCTCTCCCCCTCCATCACCAGGGTTTCGTGGACGCGCACGTGCACCTGCTCCCGGCGGGTCTGTCCCTGTCCCGCGTGGACCTCCGCGGGACCCCCTCCCCGGCCGCCCTCCAGCGGCGGCTGGGTGAGGTGGCGGGGCGGCTGGGGCGGGGGGAGTGGCTGCTGGGGGGCCAGTGGGACGAGGGGGAGTGGGGGGGAGAGATGCCCCGAACCGAGTGGCTGGACCATGTACGTGTGGCTGGGGGGGAGAAGGGGTATCTCCGATTGTGCATTGTCGTACATAGGGCCTAGGCGAAGGACATGCAACCCATTGGGTTGCTGCTACGACCACACTTGGGCTCGTAACGTCGTCGTACGGTGACATGTACTGCCGTGCCTGACACGTTTCCCATCCCGTCCTTCGAGGCTGCAACGGCGGCCCATCATTACTAAACCCTGGAGCCCTTTCACCTGCTACTGCTGTTAGTGAGTATTGTGCCGTACACGACTACACCCACGCAGGTATGCGGTGATCACCCCGCCTACCTGACGCGTCACGACCTCCACATGGCGCTGGTGAACACGGCCGCGCTGCAGCTGGCGGGCATAGGGCCCCACACACCCGACCCTGAAGGGGGCCTTATTGACCGGGACCCCGCCACGGGACGACCCACCGGGCTGCTCAGGTACTACCCCACCGGGGTGGGGAGGGGGGAGGGGGGAGGAGAGAGGAGTGCGGGTAAAACCCGGGGGGAAAGAGGGAAAGGGGTATGGTAGGGGTGGGGCGGAGGACTGAGAGGCGACTTGGGGATTGCATTGGGGTGGGGTTGGGGTGGGGTGGGGCCGGGGGTGGGGTTGGGGTGGGGTGGGGCCGGGGGTGGGGTGGGGTGGTGGATGAAGTGACTTTTTTTCTCTGGCCCAGAGGGGTTCGTAGGGGGCGGATAAAGGTATGTACGGCAATGAGGGCGTTTTTTGTTGTGGCTGCCTGGTCTCCGCATTACCCTACCCCTCCTCCTCCTCCGGAACCACCGAGGAGGGGGGTTGATGATGACATCACACCGCTTAGGACTCACTGGGGGCAGTTTGGGCCCCTCTTGGACCACACCGGCAGCACACGTTCACTCCTCTCACTTCCTCACATCACATAGGATATCCCCTTCCTCCCCCCTCCCGCCCTTTACTATTTCACGGCTTGGGTCTACTGCTCTTCTTCCGCGCGTATTTTAGTCTTGGCGGCTAGGTAGGTAGTTTTCCGCTGTCGTCATCACTACGTCATCCCGAGGACGGCTTCTTCACAACCGCCGACTGGTCGGTTCTGCTTTCTTCACATCCGCCGCCTCAGCATCCTCTTTCCTTGGCATCAGCATCACTCGCTCGTGGTTCGTCCTTCCCCCCTCCCGGCCCCCCCCATGCTCCAGGGAGAGGGCCATGGCTCTGGTGGAGTCCCTGCTGCCCGCCCCCTCGCCCGCTGAGCGGCGTACGGCACTGGCGGCCGCCTCGCGTCTGGCCCTGTCCCGGGGGGTGACGTGTGTGGGGGACATGGGCAGGTACCTGGTGGGGGAGGAGGGCGCACCGTGGAGGGATTTGGAGGTGGGGGGGGAGGGGAGGGGAGGGGAGCCTGAAGGGACAGGGTACTCGGCAAGTTGGTTGCAGTCACTACCCAGATACGCAGGGGTCCTCCCTGTGTATGACCCTTAACACGATATACTTTACGGCTTGGCATTACTGGTTTCCTTCTGCGCTTATTTTAGTCTTGGCGGCTAGGTAGGTAGTTTTCCGCTGTCGTCATCACTACGTCATCGCGAGGTCGCCGCACTTCAAGAACACCTTTTGGTCAGTCCTACGTCTGGTACACTCTTGCCCTGGCAGCAGCTTCACTCGTTCACGTGGTTCATCTTTCCCTGCCTCCCTTCCCCCGCAGGAGGTGTACCTGCCGGCAGCTGACGCGGGCAATCTGCCAGTGCGGGTCAGTGCCTTCATGCCCCTGAGGTCCTGGTAAGAAGTGACGTGCGTGAGTGGCGGTGTGTGTGTGTGTGGGGGGGTAACTTGGGGGTGGGTGGGGGGAAAGGGGGAGGGGGCGGAAAGGGGGGAGGGGACTACATACACATTTGCCTAGAGCTGAACCGGATTCGGTGGGGTAGATTTGGGCTTTAAAGGTTTTAAATGGCGTGGAAGATAAACCGTGGATGTTTTGTTTCAGTGGCGTGCCTTTCAGTTCCTCGGTTGCACGTGGCAAGCTGCTGTCTGGTACGAGCCGTACAACTACCTGTCTGTCCATCTGTCTGTCTACTCCTCCTACTTCTCCATGCGTGTCAAGGCTTAACATGCCCCACACCGACCCACACCGACCCACACTGACCCACACTGACCCACACCGACCCACACCGACCCACACTGACCCACACCGACCCACACTGACCCACACCGACCCACACCGACCCACACTGACCCACACCGACCCACACTGACCCACACCGACCCACACCGACCCACACTGACCCACACCGACCCACACTGACCCACACCGACCCACACCGACCCACACTGACCCACACCGACCCACACTGACCCACACTGACCCACACTGCAGGCGCCGGCTGTCCTCCTGGGTGGCAGTTCACGGCCGAGCTCATCCGGGGGGAAGGCTGTTCTGGGGGGGCCTCAAAGAGTTTGCGGACGGCAGTCTGGGCTCCCGTACAGCGCTGATGTGGAAGCCGTACAGTGATGTGGGGAGAGGCGGTTCACCAGGCAAGCAGAGCTTTAACGGTGAACAGGCAGAGGAGGAGGCGGCAGCTGACGGAGGCCTTCAGACGGGTCCCTCCCCCCCCGCCGCCCCTGTGTATGGTCAGCGGGTAGTGGGGCTGGGGGAGTTGGGGGAGCTGACGACAGCGGCGGTGCGGGCTGGGCTGCAGGTGAATTTGGGGAGGTGGAAAAGAGGGGGGCCTCGGTGTGTGTTGTGTGTGTGCAGGTCTCTTGCCTGACACGTGCAGATGGTTGGTAGAGCTGGCGGCGGCTATGGTGGCTCACACTCCCCCTTTGCAGCCTCACCGCCGGCTGGCCCCCAGTCTCGGTGAGGGAGAGGCACCGCCGTCCGCCCCTAAGCCGTACACACACCCTCCCTCCCTGCCCCCTTTCCCCTCCCCTCCAGGTTGCCGTACATGCCATAGGTGACCGGGCGGTGGATGAAGTAGCTCTCACGTACCAGGAGGCCCTCGAAGGGGAGTTAGCGCGGGGGAGGGGGGGGCCAGGGGAAGGGGGGAAGGGGGGGGGAGGCCTGAGTACCAGCAGCGACAGCAGTCGCGGTGCAGCGTCGGATGCAGACGGCCAGAGTGGGAGTGTGGGGGAGGGTGAGCGCCTAGCACTGGAAGACACGGCGGCGGCGGCGGCGGCGGCGGGAGATCCCCCCGATGTGGAGTCGCGGAGGCGGTTGGGACAACGGCTCAGACTGCGAATAGAGCACGTGCAGGTACTGAGGGGGCGCCAGGGGTTGGGGGACTGAGGTGGATAGGGGGACCGGAGGGGGGGAGGAACTTATGTTGAATTGAATTGAATTGCTACAGAGAGGGAGGCTTCCGGGCCATTTGAACACATCTTGTCATTTCTACGATTTATCATACCATACAGCACCATCCACCATTACCACACTGTACTACGGCATATGAACTGGAAGATTAAGGCGGTTGATCTAGCCTTCAGGGAACCCTCCTCATCCATTCACCCGAACATCCGAAGAGGCAGAGGGTTCAGAAATCGCCACCAATCCAGCGTGGTGCGAATCTCGATCCATCAACTGTGACCTCAACTCCACATCTCAGCAGCTAGCCATAATCTCACGCTCCCGACAATGTCGGGGGTCTCCCCAGGAATCAAACCCAGGACCTTAAACTGCATAAGACAGTAATGTCGGCCAGACCAGACCTTATGTGCCCTTGGGGGCCGCCCACACCGGGGGGTTTGGGCGCTGCATTCCATCAAGCCCCGCCTTTGCTGCGTCACTGACTGCCAGTACCTAATGAATGGCTGGTCACTTGGCTGCCGTACCGTAACCGTACCATCCTCCTACAGCACCGTAAGGCCCCCCACCGGCCATCCTGCTGTTACCAGCAACCCCAGCCCAAGCCCAGCCCGACAAACCCCCCTCTTCCGATACCTAATTCCCCCCTCCTGCGGACGTCCCTGTAACTCCCCCCTTCCCCCCCTCCCCTTCTCTCTTTTCCCCCCGACCCAACACAGCACCTCTCCGGTACCTCCAACACCTCGTCTACGCTGGCCCTCAGCGGCCTCACCGCCGTACCCAACCCCCTCCACCTCCTCACAGACGCCCCCATGCTGTTCCCCCGTCTGGGCCGCCAAAGAGCCGCCCAGGCTTTCGCCCTCGCCTCCCTGCGCCGAGCAGGACTGCGACCCGCGCTGGCCTCAGACTGGCCGGTGGTGGACCTGCAGCCCCTGACAGCTGTGTATGCTGCCGTACACCGCCAAGGACCCCCCGCGGAGGTCGCCAGGGCCATGAGACGGAAGCTGCCGTACGGCAGTCGATTCCGTCTAGTGGGGGAGGGTCACACCTATGACGATGAAGAGGATGATGATCACGATCATCAAAACCACCGCCGCGAGGAGGAGGAGGTGGAGGAGGGTGCGGACCTTAGGGCAACATCGGTGGTTGGTGATTCGGTTGGTAGCGACGAGCGGTTAACGTTGGAGGAGGCCCTTTTGGGTCACACTGCCTGGGGGGCTGCGGCTCTGGGATTGGAAGATTACGTGGGGAGGTTGGCCCCGGGGTTGAGAGCTGACTTGGTGGAGCTGAGCGACTCTCTAGCGGAGAGGGTGGAGGATGGGGGGCAGGGGGGAAAGGGGCGGTGGCAGCTGTCGGAGGAGCGGCTGCGGCGGTGTATGCCGGTGGTGACCCGGACGTGGGTTGATGGACAGTTGGTGTACGACAGGGGGACTATTGGACAGAGCAGCCAGCTGGAAAGAGAATGAGGAAGGGGGGAGTTGTGCTTGTGGAGCGGGAAACGTGCTGTGTTCTGTCCTATTGGACAATGTGGAGCGTTCGACTGTTGCAAGTCAATGTGCGTGTCTCCTACGGGTGGCGGCGGTCGGACTTCCCTCGAGAAGAGGATTGGGGGAATAGGGGGAAGTTAGGAGGTATACGCTGGACGAAATTAAACCGGGGTCGTACGGTACGGCTGTTGTGTGCAGAAGAACGAAACGTACAGCGGCCTCGTACAGGCATGCTGCGGCTGTGTAATCTTAAGACTGGTACCCGTATTCGGTATCAGCAATTCAGGATGCGTCGTCACGGGTAATAGCTGAATGGTACTGATGCGGCTGCGAACTGGTGCGAGATCTCGCCTTCGAGTGTTTAGAAAGCGCGGATAAGTTCACGAAAATTCGGGACATGGCTGAGGTGCCTGTACGGGCCCGTGTGTTGCTTCCACGGCCTCAGCTTTCAATTGAAATTTTATACAGAAGCCACCATCATAATATTGGAAGTGGTGAAATGCAAACAAATGGGCGAACGTGAGGAGTAAACGGAGGATATTTGGCTTCCCTGCCTTGTCTTGGCATCTTGGCTGTTCTCCGATATTCGACGTTACGATCGCAGCGATACCTGCGCGTATGTGTCTTGTACCGCTTAGTTTATTTTGTACGACACATTCAGTCACTGGTGATATCGCAGCACCGCTACATAACCTTTGTAGCAGCAGCAGCAGCAGCAGCTGAGGACATTTTTCAGCCCCCTAACCCCACCCGCCTCAAGCTGAGGGTCCCCCCCGCGGGCCATCCGGATATACCCAATGCACTACCTTAGCCTTCAGAGACCCGCCGAAGCCTTGAGAGGACTCCACATTTTCGTTCCGTATCTTCCCCCTCCCTCCCCGAGGTCGTCCCTACAGTCGTCCACCCCTTCACGCCACACTCTCCCTCCTCCCCCCTCTCCTCCCCCTGCCCCGCGGACGCAGCTGCACCCTATTCGTAGTGGCATGGTGACATCATGGGACCTCCCTACTCTCCGAAACCAGGAGGCAGCTCCTGTGGGCGGGGGGGGGGGCAGGTGGGAGAGGGGGAGGGGGTGCAGCGGTCGCAGCAAAGGAACGCGAGAGGAGCCGCTGCAACTGTATGTAGCCTTTTTTAGAACATATACCCTCTAATGCAGAAGGCCGTACAGTACGACACGATATGCCAATGCACCGCTATTAAGCCCAACGCCCAAATGCCACCCGGACCCCACCTGCCATCCGGCCTACACCCTCCCCCGCCCTCCCCCCCTCCCTCCCTCCCCCCTCCCTCCTGCCCCTCCCTCCCTCCCCCCCCTTCCAGGTCACCTTGAGCGCTCCCCAGGTCGGCCCCGCGGCCACCTTGACCAGCAGTGGTACGTTCAGGCTAACCACCCCGCACATGATCTCCCGTACAGCAACCACCAACCGCCTAACAACCTCCGGCCTCGAGTCCACCTCGAACACCAGCTCGTCGTGGATCTGGGCAACCAAATGGGCGCCCAAAGGGGGAGATGCGTGTGCAGCAGCTGCCGCCGCCCCGGGCGGGGGCCCCGCTGCCGGGCCGCTGCCCCCGCTTCCGCCGCCTGGCGCAGCATCCCGCGGCTGGTTCACGGCCGCCCACATACACATGGCGCATTTGACCAGGTCTGCAGCGGCGCCCTGTGATGAAAGAATGTTGTGTGTAAAGAGTGTGTGCGTGTGTGCGTATGTACGTATGTGCGGGCGAATTGTGGGGTGGAAGGTGTGGCTGAGGGAAGGGCTCTCAAAAACCCCCTTTGCATTCGTCCCCCTTAGGTCTCCCATCCCTTACACATGTCGAGATTCTTCCAGTTTTGGTTGAGACACCAGTTGCGCCGCATACCTCGTACTGCCCCGCCACGACACGACACGACACGACACGACACGACACGTCAGATCCCGCCCTCTCGCCGGAGAGACGATAACTTCGGGTTTAAGAGGCAGGTGGATTTTGCGACCCCGGGGAATCATAGCACACACATACACACATACACACATACGCACACTCACCCCACACCTCAGACGCCCCTACCTGTACGATGCTGTTGACCACCTGTACGGGTTGTAACGGTAAAAATAGGGGTTGGGGCTGGCTTTTTTGTTTTTTAGTTTACTGTATTAATTTATGGGAGCGGGAGCGGCGGTTGTGGGGGTGTTGTAGGAGTACAGCAAAAGGTGGTTGCACAGATGGGCAAAACCAGCTCCCGCTGGTGGTCAACATTTTGATAATCTGTCTTTCCTTGTCTTGGACCTCCTTACCCCTACTGGGCCCTACTTGCCTTCCTCTCCGCATCCGCACGGACCCGTGGGTCGCTGCTATTCACTCCGGCAATGGGCCGTCTCCTGCCCAGAAGCCCAGTGGTGATGTAGCCGTGACGGCGAGCGTGATACAAACTCCTGAGGGCAAAATATTGTAACGTGAGCAAGTACAGTTACATATCTCTGAATATTCCTGATATCATAATCAAAGAGGTTCAGGTGGCTATTCCTCACACATTTACCATTATGTCGTCGTACAATAGTAAGGGTCGTACATCGGATGGGTACATCTTCGCTGGCGTATCGCATCCGGTATCTTTGGACGCCACCTTGACTGGTTGTGATCAAAGATAAACGTTGGGGGCGAGGATGAGGGCGAGGAGGACGAGGAGGAGGTCAATAGGGGTGATGTACCCCCCCCCCCCCTTGCCGGGGACCTGGCCCAGATCTGGACAGATGGGTGCCGTACGGCGCGGTACAGAGCTGGTCATCGTCTCTCACAGTCCCCACGTCTCCAACCAAGTAACTAACTAACCAACTAACCAACCAACCGACTCACGAGGTAATGAAGGCCTGCACTCCGGCGAAGTGGCGCAGGAAGGATGTACGCAGGGCTGTGGCCTCCTCCAGGCCCACCCCGTACTCCTGAGGGGTGGAGGAGGAGGGAAAGACGATAACCATGAGCGAGTGAAGCTGCTGCCAAGGAAAGAGGAGCAGAACTGAGGGGGGGAGGGAAAGAGGGAGGGAGGGATTTTACTGTACGAAGTTATTAAAAGTCAGCTACCGCGGGGAGTAGAAGTGGGGTGAGGGCGGATGGCTGGAAAGCCGGGTACGAGCACACACACGGGGGCCGGGACGGGTCAGGTTGAACACCCCCCCCCTGCCGGGGCCTGCACCCGGAGGTGGGGTTTTGAAGGGGCCGGATGGACCCCCGGGACTGACCCGGGACTGAGCACGGCGACCCGCCACCCCTGCCAGCAGCCGACATGCCGCCCTCGGCCGCACCCAGGTGGTCAGTCAGTCTGTCTGTCAGTCTGTCTGTCAGTCTGTCAGAGTAATCGGTCAGTCTGTTGTTCTATCTGTTCAGTCTATCTGTCATTCTGTCTGCCTGCCGGCGGTGGACGCAATGTTGCCAATGTGGCGGCGGAGGCGCTGGAATCGTAGGAGGATGACGATGAGGATGAAGATGAGGACCTACCGCCAATTGTTGCGCCAGGCCTTGTGCAGTCATGCCGTATATAATGCCGTACACGACCCGCTTAACCTGCTCCCTATCTCGACTGCTAACGTCCGCTGTAGCAGGCAGGGGTGGGCGGGGTGGGCCAGGGTGTGGGTCAGGGGGGGGGGGGGTCGCGTGCGAGGCGGTCGTACATGCAACCACCGCCAACGGCCCGGAAAGCTATTAGACCCCAAAAAACAGATCCATGATCCCCAGGAGTGCTGCGGAGGATCGAAATAGAAACCAGATGTGTCGTACGAGCCAATGACTACACGCCAACCGGGAGCCCTCTGCTTCTCCGTCCCATACCCGCCCTCCCCCCCCTTTTCTCCTTCGCATCCCACCCACCGGGTGCAGTTCCGGGCCTCAGCCAGGACGCAGCGATGTGCCTGAACGCGTCGGTTCCCCCTCCCCCTCCTCCCCTCCCCTCCGACTGCTCCACCCCCCTCTTCAACAGCTCCTGCAACCTCAGGTCGCCACTCATATGAGCCAACAACCGCAACTCAATCTGTGTGTGGAGGGGGGAGAGGAAAGAGGGACATACATGAACAGATTACTACACGTATATGCCTTCGTAGCTTAGTGGAGTGTTCCCTTCGTAAGGGAAAGGTCCTGAGTTCAATCCTCAGCGGGGGCAACTTCGGAGGAATCATATTATTCCTGGGTTAGCCACTTCTGATAATGCGCGACCATTGATCCTGGAAGATCTCGGGAATTGAGCATAGTCAGGATGAAACATCTTTCCGATGGTGGAAGGCATTGCGCCCCTAGTTGATGGACGGTGGTGACCTGGGATAAAGTTAACCTGCGAGCCGACCAGGAATGGAGTTGGGCCGCTGTCCACCCGGCAGATTCCTTTGGATGCTGGTGGTGGGTGCGGAACCTGAGCGATCCACTGAGAAGTTGACTAGGGTGACTGGATGAGGGTGCCCCGAAATACCGGGGAAGGCAGGGTTTCGCAGGGTAGCTGCCACAGGCGAAGATACACCCCCCTGTTTCACACATATACGTATAGTATATGAATAAGAGGTATTTACATATAGGGGCCTGCACCGCCCTCCCCCTCTCCCAGCCCCTAGGCCCAATACGAAACCCACACACAAGGTCGGCTACCCCCCCCACACACACACACCCCTCCCCGCCCCCAGGGGAACCACCACCTGGCTGTAGTCCGCGGCCACAAGCAGTCGTCCAGGGGGGGCCACGAAGGCGTTACGAGCCACCACCACCAGTCGGTCTCCCCTCAAAACCCCGGCCCCCTCCTCCCCACCCCCTCCGCATGGAGAGCCCTCCGTGGTATCGCCCAGCGGCACAACCACCTCGTACTTGGTAACGGCCTGAGGGGCACGGGGGGTTGTGTGGGGGGGGA